ATTAAACTTAATGAAAACTTTTTACATGATTGAAAAAGGTTTTGTATTTTAAACCTAGTGCTAAGAATAAGAACTCAGACATATAACTAAGAGAACCTAGAATCTAAATATACATCCAATGCAAATTTGTGTATCTATTTTCTGCTTTTTAGCAAATTTCGTGTTTTTTTATTAGATTGATGAAATGACAATCAAGTTCGTGATCGTCAATGATGAGAGTGAAAGATTTTGCTTACATGAAGGACAATGCCCAAGAATGGTTCACTAGTCTAGAATATGCTAATTATTAGAGTTGACATTAAGTTAGCAAACCAAAAAGATGCTAAGCAGAGACAATATGCCTTTGTAAAACCAGTAATAACCATGTCAAGCATGATTTAAATAATCTTTTATATACAATAATTATTAACCCAAAAACAATAAAGGTTGCTGTGAAAATAAAATCGAATTCAAGAGAAGTGTAATCCTGATTCTGTATCAATAATAACCAACCTCCCCCCCTCTAATGAAGGCTTGTCATTTCATAATAAATACTGAACATTACATGTTCATATTGACAGACAATGTTGGTTTTAATTACGCATAAATCACAACTAATATAAACTGCATTTGTTAATAAAATCAACTCTGGTATGTCAAATCAGATTACTTCTAAATACAATAGCAATCACCAGAATACATACCGTATTAGTATAGTGATCTATTACAAGTGCAAGTAGGTACCATACAATTTTAAGTTTAGATAAGTCTAAAATTTATAATCAATATTTTGTATATAAATTTTTAGAAAATCAAGTTATAAGAATCATAAATCAGCACGAATAAGAAATTAATAATAGATATATAGATTATTTCAAATACTTTGATTAATAAATAATATGTTTTCGAATAATTTGATTAACAAATTTATACTTTCCAGGTTAAATTAACCAAAATAAGTAACTTAATGCAAAATTTTTTTTATTATATTTTAGACTATAATTACAGACTAATTTAATATAAATTGCTAATTACAAATATACCTTCTATTAAGTGAATAAGTATTGTTTATTTTTTGCAATAGTGGGAATAAGAAATAAGTTCTCAGTTATACGAGGGCTCAAACGGCCTTCATATAGCACAGAGATCTACCAATGTATGAAATATAAGGGTTTTTTGTATGATGTCATGATGCAGATTATATAATTTGTAGTAGTGATTTCTTTTGATCTACAAATTTTACTTATGCATCTTCATATATGATAAAACAGTAAATGCAATAAACTGATCTTTATATGCTTTGAAGGATAAACAGATTTTTCCCTATAGTCAAATTTTTTGTGTAAAATAAATTAGATAATTCGAAATAAATTAAGAATATAAGTTGTACCATATTTTCACATGAAAAAATGATTGTAGACAATAATATAAGATAAGAAAAAAAAAAGCCTATTATTACTGTATTCATCCAATTAAAGTTAATGGAAGTCAATAGATAGATAAGCAAGGATATTAATATGCTGAAAGCAACTTGGTTAAGTCCAAGTTCACAGCCATTAAACCAAATCGAGCGCGAAATGATCTGGGTGAGCACATGAAGTCAGGTAAATAACTACCTAATTTAAAAGCATTATGAAATTCACCATAGAGAATCGTTGCAGGATCTATGTAAAATCCTGCCATTTTGTATTAAACTTCATATCTAAGCCTGCCTGCTTTATACAGTGTGGGAGATCACGAGCTGATACTTCGGATCATAATTTAAACTGATGATGCGATACCCAGCGCAATTAAATTACTATTTCTGGGAACATATTCTGTCTCAGTTTATACATCGATTGCTTGATGTAGGTGCAAGTATAACTGATAATGCTCATTCATCATTTTTTATTACGTTTATTCATACTGCAAGATAATGATAATTGTCAGAATTGAATACTAATATAAAATATTCATTCATTAAATTAGTCCATAGTCAACTAAATAACCAATCTGTATTTTTTAAACAAACTAATTTTGGTCAAATTTGCAGCCATTTGGCCTATTTGAGATGAGTTTAGGACTTATCTCCAATACCCAACCTGCTTTTGGTTCTATTACAAAATCCTGAAAGCCATTTTCCTGAAAGAACATAATAGTGACTAAATTGGCCAGTATTATAATTGCTGCTGGCCAACTTTGTCAGTATTAAGTCTTTTTGGGAATTTGTTATTTGAGATTTGTTAAGAATCAACTGCTTAACCTACCTGCTAATTAATAGCTAACTACTTAACATACTAATTAAAAGTCAACCACCTACCTAATCTACAGTTTAATTCAAATGTATATAATTTATATATTAAAAATAACAAAAATAAAAAAGTTTTAAATTTGATAAATATATAATTTCAATAATATAAATTTATAATATTATAAAAAGAATTTTTTATTTTTTCGCATATGCATTATAACGTATACCCCTATACCCTATTTACTATACATTATATATAACTAAAATTTTGTACTACTTTTAAAACTAAAAATAGTTTTTTGCTTACTTCTACTTACTCTTACTAAAAAGCATTTTTTTTATATTAGAGTGTAAGCAAAGGTGTAGTGGAGAGAAGCAGTAAGGAAAAGCTGCATGATTTCGTTGAAGTAAAGCTATATAAAGGTAAAGGTCTCAATTACCCATAGCATTGGCATTAGAATTTTACTAGAATTCAAAACTGAATGTCATTAACCTTTATTGTTTTACAGTTTAATAGAAAGCTATAAAGCTCTACCCAAAGCCAACTTTAATTATACTTTTTTTCTTTGTAAGTATAGTTTAGTATTAATGAGTATTTGATTTTAACAATAACTCTTTTTCTGGCGCTCTTAATTTTAGCAGACGTAATCGTTTATTTGATAGCACAAATAATACTTGGATAACCATGGTAATTTTTTTAACTAAGGCTTCGACTTCTGGGAGGGAGAGAGATATTTATTAGATAAAGGTCAATAACCTTCGGGTTTTGCAAGTGTGTGATTTAATTGAAGTGCAAGTGTGTGGTTATATTGAAGTCAAGTGTGTGGTTTCATTAAAGTGCAGGTGCATAGTTTCATCAAAGCAAAATCATAGAAAGGTAAAAATTTTGCATCTGCATAGAATTTTACTAGAAAGTCAAAATTAAGAGTGTCGCTATTAATCTTTACTGTTTTAAAGTTTTGGTAGAAAGCTATAAAACTCCAAAGTCTATGTTTTTTTTGTGTAAGTAGAATTTGGGTCCATATCATTTCTCTGACATTTTTTCCCTGACATTCATTTCCCTGACAATGTTTTCCTGACAATTCTTTTTCCAACACTTTCATTTCCCCGACATTCACTTCCCCGACACTTTCATTTCCCCGACATTCACTTCCCTGACACTTTCATTTTCACAACATTCACTTCTCTGACACTTTCATTTCCCCAACATCTTCATTTCTCCAACATTTACTTCTCCAACATAGTCATTTACCCAACATTCCCTTTCCTGACACTTTCATTTTCCCGACATGACCATTTCCCTAACATAATCATTTTTCCGAAATTCACTTACCGATACTTTCATTTCCTGACAAAACCTTCCTGACAAAATTACCTTTCTGGCTATATATGCTGGCAAAATTAAAAACTTTATAATCCCGAATCCCAAATTCCAAATTCCAAATCACAACCCCAAATCCCGTCTCATCTCATCTCAAATCCCAAATTTTAAAAAACAGATACAAATACAGTCAAATCTCCCTATAGTCACCCTCTATATAAGCACATTATATGAAAATTCTCTTTACAAGCACATTTATTTTAAAACCAACTATTATAAACATATAGAAAAAAAACTTCTTTATAAGCACATCTTAGTAAAATTCTCTTTACAATAACACAAATCTTTATCCTGAGAGGTGTGATTATAGGGAGGTTAGACTATATATATTTATATATATATATATAATAATAATAATAATAATACAATAGTGAAATGCATAACTCTGAATTAAAGACAGGTCTGGTCAAAAAGTTTGAATATTTGCTAGAAATCAGAAACTGGAGTATAAAATAAAATAAAATAAAATAAAATAATTTATTCTAGTTTTTACTTAATTTAAATACAATTATTAATTTATATTATTTTATTTAACTATTTAAAAACAAGTTTGTTTACATTGTGTATGTTTTTTTTTTGTTTACCGGTATCATACTAACTGCTAATCTATTTTTTTTTTTCATGCCTACTATGCCCTTCTCTTTCTGGTATTGTTTCGTTGCTTTTTAGTGTCACCTCTGCTGGTGTCATGTCGCTGCTTGTCTTAATATAGTCTGTGGTGGATCATTTATCGATGTTGCTGTTTCGTAGATTCCTTGTTTTTAATAAAGTTGACCATGGTATGTGTGATTTCATGTTTTTACAATTTTCTCTTTTTGCTGACTACATTCTATATCATCGATTTGCTGATATTGTTGTTGGGTTCAATGTTATCACTGGAAGACCACTGGAAGAAATTCAATAGTGTCACTGGAACTTAAAGTTCCAATGGCACTATTGATTAACTTCCAGTGGTGACAACACTGGCTGGATTGGTGCTGGTGTTGCTACTGGTAGTGTTGCTTGATATTTTCGCTATATAATAATTGTAGTCAATTTCAACATAAGCAATGGCATGCCATGGCAGTAATAGGTTTCGTGTGGGTTAGGTTTATTGGGTAAGATTAGGTATTTAGATTAAATTCTGACGTCTAGGTTAAGCATTAAGTTTTACAACCATTATTTATAAGTTCTGGAATACAAGATTCAGTAAGTTATTGATTTCAAAATGATCGGTGTATAAAGCTATATATTTTATAATATATGCAATACTTGTTTTAGGAGTGATTCTCATATCTATTATGCCGAAGTCCGAAACAATTGAAAAAATCTTAGCAAATGTTTATCCGGTGTCGCTGAATTTATGATAATAGTTTCAATAGCTAGCAAATTAGTTGATAGGTAGGTCAAGATATAAGTTTTATATTCCAATTTGACGTTAACGAAACATTTAACACTATTTGTTCCACTAGTGCTCTCCATCTCTGCATTAATAAAGCTCTTACATTCATTTTCAATACCAATTCCGTGACTATAGCAACATCCAATATTTATATAATATAGTATGATAATATGAGATAATATCACGTTGGTATAGTGATAATTTTTTTGATCAGAGAATGCCGCTTCATGGCATTTTCTGAATAATCAAAAAAAATTATCACTGACTAGTGTGATGAATCTCAGAATTATCATGCTATATTGGTATTATAGTACAGTATTATAAATTATACTATTTGTTTTTTTAAAACCTCTTTAATTTGGATAGTATAAGTATGAATGATATATGCATGAATGACGAAATAAAAAGAAAGTGATTTATAACTTATATAGTGTAATACTTATGATCAATAGTGGCTGTGCTATAATATAGGTTCTACTAGTTCACTAGCTCTGTAGATTATTGATACCAGATATATGCTTTATGTTCATCCTTTTCACTTCCAATTCCGTGATGAAAACAATATCCAGCATCATTATCTATTTTTGTGGATTTTTGATAGTTAATGAAAGCTTTCTTTTCAAGTCCAATTCTGTAATGATGATAATAGTCAGTATTATTTGATAGTAGGTAATTTAAGTATAATTATCCAACTACAGGAGGGAACGTTGTTGTTACACAACTGATTTTACACACGGTGTGAAACACAAAAAAAATTATTTTACAATACTTGTTAGTCTGCTAGTATATGTTATGATTATAATCCAACACTATTTTTTTATAATAAAAAATAGTGTTGGATTATAATCATAATATGTACTAGTGGACAGATCAAGACTGATCAAGTATTGTAAAATAATTTTTTTATGTGTTTCACACCGTGTGTAAAATCAGTTGTGTAACAACAATGTTCCCACCTGTTTTATCTAACATGGATTGGTGTCTCATACCCAGTTTTTCGCAAATATCTATATAACATTCGATTTTCAATTTATGTATTTCAGTGTTGTCAAAAAATAAATCTGGGTCACCTGGGTAGCAGCAACTAAACGGGAAAATTACCATCCTAAAAATTTTCAATAGCCAACTAAATTTCAAGATTAGGCGCAATGAAGTATTATCAGAAAATTCAAAACAAACATTTGATTTGTCCAAATGCAAAATTAAGTCTATGAAATTGCCTTCTGTGTACTAATAAAAATTCTCTTGTAAAACTTGATATATATAGATTTTCAAATAGCAAAATTCCACTCTTAACCTAACAGCATATAATTTTTTGCGTGAAATAATTGGACGGCGAATTAACCAAGGTACAGCAACTATGACCTGATTAATGGATATAAGGGTTACCCTGATGACTCTTATATGTGACAATCTCGAATTAATGGGATTTTGTAGATAATAGTATAAGTTATTAGGTATGTTTAAGGTTATGATAGGGTAAGAGTAGGATAAGGATAAGTTTATAATTAGTGATAAGTTATGGGTTATGGTTAGGGTTTAGAATGTAAGATAAGATAAGTGTTAGATAGGTATAAAATGTGTATAAAGGGTGTTTATTGTACAATAAATAAAAATAATATATATGTATTGCTGTGTCGCAATTAAATATTGTAAAAGTATAAAATATATTAAATATATGATATTTGGCACAAATGGTGCATTTTAGTAACTATTCATATATTTAATTTATTTTGATATTCCCATTTTCTGAACCAGAGCTTATACATTGTCTAACTAATTCAAGAACCTAAATTAGAAGTGTAGATATTTAAAATTTTGGAGACAGCTACCCCGGCAAAAATATCACAACAATGCAGCATATTTGCCATATAGATAGAAGTGTAGCATATAGTATAAATGTACTGTTATACTTGCTGACAAGCCTATTGGGTTTTGAGTTTCGGGATTTGGGATTATAGAGTTTTTAATTTTGTCAGCATGTATAGCCGGAAAGGTAATTTTGTCAGAAAGGTTTTGTCAGAAAATGAAAGTATCAGGAAAGTGAATTTCGGAAAAATAATTATGTTGGAGAAATAGTCATGTCAGGGAAATGAAAGTGTCAGGGAAGGGAATGTTGGGTAAATGACTATGTCAGGGAAGTAAATGTTGGGGAAATGAAAGATGTCTGGGAAATGAAAGTGTCGGAGAAGTGAATATCGGGGAAATGAAAGTGTCGGGAAAGTAAATGTTGGGGAAATGAATGTGTTGGGGAAAGAATTGTTGGGGAAACATTGTCGGGGAAATAAATGTCAGGGAAAAAAATGTCGGGGAAATGATATGGACCTGTAGAAGTATTAATAAGCGTCTGATTTCGATAATAACTCTTTGTTTAATGTTCTTTATTTCAGCTGTTTATTTGATAGTACAAATAATACTTGGATAACCATGGTAATTTTAACTAAGGCTTTAACTTCTGGGAGAGAGAGAGATATTTATTAGATAAAGGTCAATAACCTTTGAGTTTTGCAAGTGTGTATTTTTGTTAAAGTGCAAGTGTGTGGTTATGTTGAAGTCAAGTGTGTGGTTTCATTAAAGTGCAGGTGCATAGTTTCATCGAAGCAAAATCGTAGAAAGGTAAAAATTTTGCATCTGCATAGAATTTTACTAGAAAGTCAAAGTTAAGAGTGTTGCTATTAACCTTTACTGTTTTAAAATTTTAGTAGAAAGCTATAAAACTCCAAAGTCACCATTTTTTTTGTATAAGTAGAATTTAGTATTAATAAATATCTGATTTCGATAATAACTCTTTGTCTAATGTTCTTTATTTCAGCCATTTATTTGTTAGTACAATTAATATTTGGATAACTGTAGTAATTTTAAGCTAAGGTCTTGACCTACTGAAAAAGACATATTTAGTAGATAAAAGCCAATAACCTTCAGGTTTTGTGAGATTGTGATTTCATTGAAGTGCAAGTGTGGTTTTGTTAACGTGCAAGTGTGTGGTTACATTGAAGTGAAGTCTGATTTCGTTGAAGAGCAAGTTTGATTTTGTTGAACTGCAAGAGTACTATATATTGCCGAAAATATGCCACCTCCAAAAATAAGCTACCCCTTTTTTCTTGGAGAAGAAACATAGAAAAATTTGTAATTCCGAAAATAAGCTACCTCTAATAATTTCTTAAAATCTGGAAGTAGTTACTATATATAAAAGTCAAAATTCTATTAAGTTAATCGATGAAAGGCACTTAATAGTTGTTGTTCAGGACGTAAAAATACACATATCCAAAATGTTTAAAGCAAATTAGAGAACTTTTTACTAAGATGTTTTTGCATTTTATATTCAACCATAAAATGCAAAAACATCTTAGTAATAAGTTTTCCGATTTAATTCAAACTTTCAAAATATATGTATTTTATGTCTTGAACAACTCCTATTAAGTGACTTTCATCGATTAACTTAATAGAATTTTGACTTTTATATATAGAAACTACTTCTGGATTTTAAAGAAATAATAAAAATCAACCTTTTTGAAACTTTATCTGAAAATAAGCTACCTCCATGATTTTTGTGTCACTTTTTTGGCCAAAAAAGATAGCTTATTTTCGGAAACCTATGGTAATTTTGTAGATAAAAAGGTAAAGATCTCGATTGCTTGCCATGTTTGTAGAATTAAATCAGAATCAAGAGTGTCACTAAGCATCTATATTTATTACAAACTAGATTTTTCTGCTTGTCATTTACGTTTTTGTTATGAATGAAGAATTGGAAGATTTCCTTGTTATAAGAAAAAAGACAGAGGGCTCATATTTTATGAGTGAAAAATCAAATGATCATGTTATGCATAAAGAAGCTATGAATTCTTTTGACTCTGAATTTGAGTCAGATGTATTAGGAGTTTGTTTGTAAATAATAAGGATGAAATGCGATTTTAATACATTAATAATTGTTGTTTTAAGAATCTGTAGAGAGCCACGATAATACATCATTCCAAACTGAAATTGGACCATCATCCTTATTTTCTGGAAAAGAGTTTGATACATGGGAAGAATGTGAGCTATTTCTCAATAAATTGGTAAAGAATAGAGGATTTCATCTTGTTAAAGATCACATTTGTCGAGAAAATGGAGTTCTTCATCGAAGAACTTATCTATATGATCATGGAGGCTTTTATGAATCAAATACAGAAAAGGATACAAATACTAAAAAGACCTAGTACACTTTTCATGTCATTGTTTCTTGTTTCAAAATTAATAATACACAGAACTCTATAATAATTAACAAAATAGATTTTACCCATAATCATGAATTGAACCCAGGTAGAATCATGTTTGAAGATGAAAAACAATTTACTGCCACAATTTTGGCTGATATAAAATTTATGACAAAAAATTGTAAGTTTGGTGCTACTGACAAAGAAAGTTTCTAAAAAGCAAATATTATACACAAACAATCTGTTCAAAGGATTTGTATTCTGTGATACAAAAATTTCGTTCTACTAACAAATCATTGCTTAATGATACAACAAAGGTATGGTCTAGTCTATTATTATAAGCAAATAATATGAATTAGGTTTAATAGATATATTACTTTATAGGTTTCCAACTGGCTTGACTAGAAAAAAGATACAGATTCTTGTTGGGTGGTTGTATGTAAGTTTGATGAAGACAATACCTTAACGCATTTACTATGGATAACACTAGATCAGGTTGAAAATTGGATTCAATACTCAGACTGTATTTTACAGAATGTTATGCACAAGGCAAATCGTTATGAGATGGCATTATTATTGTTTGTCAGGTTCAATAATAATTGCAAAAATATATTATTAGTATAGGCACTTCTTTGTAATGAAAGTCTTAATTCACACAAATAGAAATCAATAAAGCTACAAAAGTTTTTCTAGCTATTATTCTCACTGATGCCGATCCAGCAATTGATGCTGCAATTTGTGAAATATTTACTATGATATATCCAATTCATTGTGCTTATCATTTAACACAAAATCTACATAAAAATTTTAGAAAATCACTAGATGATGCATATCAAACCTTTCTTAAAGACTTTTATATTTGTTGCAATAGTTTCTCTGAACATGTTTTCCATCAGCAATTCAATAAATATCTTCAAAACTATTCCAGTGCCAAAGGTTATCTAGAGTTTTTTTTAAATCAAAATTCTATTGGGCCCATTGTTTTATATATTTCAAGTTTACCGGAGACATGATCGCTACATCATGGGTTGAATCAGTAAATGCATGCCTGAAACGTTTATTACATAGTTCAAACATCTCATTATATGAACTTTTAAATGAAATTAACAGGTTGTTAGATATTCAGGATAGAGACAATGAATATAGGTTTTGGAAGCTCACAATTCCAATTATCAAAAATTAGAATAAAGTAAACTTTCTGTTCATTAATATTGATAAATGTATTCAAAAATTTCTCTCTCTAACTATTATACAAATGCAATGTAATGAAATTAACTAGTCAGTTTATTATTCATCAAATGTAATCAAAGATATGATACTTTCTAGTGAAGTAAGTATCTAATTATTAATTTATTTAAATAAATATATAGTAGTGTATTAATGTTCTTTTTTAATAGAATGATCAATCAAGTGATTCTCAGGAAGAATTGGGTATTGATAACATGCAAACGAGTTTTAATGAATTGGTTAAATATGCCGGCTTGGACAATATTCTAGAACCTTGGGCTATTCATACTGAAAACTCACTAAAAATAAGATATTATGTCTTACTACTAAAAAATCAGCCATATCTATGTTCTTGTTTATCTATTATACGATGTGGTATAGTATGCTGGCATTACTTTCAGATAATACTAAATACAAGTAAAGCAATGTTTTACATTTAGATGCTACTTTCATGTTGGTATTGTACAAAGGAAACTGGTGCAGAAGAACCATTCATAGTAGTGGATAAGTTTTCTACAGAAATACCTAAAGCACCTGATTTTTCAGTTCTGTATTTGTATCTGTGTAAACAAGAAAATTTTGATTTTCAAGCAGAAAACTTAACCACTCTTGAGCAAAAAATAACATATAGAAATATTCATAGCACATATAAAAGGGCTCTCCATAAGGCATTGGAAAATAAAACAAGATCACAAAGCTTAATCGAATTGCTTCAGAATTTTGCTGAAGATGAAGATGAACAATTCGAATCAGATGATCTGCAGAAAGATGATAATATGGATAATAGTACAGATGACAAAGAAAATAGTAATTCTACTTTTCATATACTAAACCTGAAAATACATCGTGGCAGAGGTTGTGCTAAAGGTACCAAACGTTTAAAATCAGCACATGAAGTATAAAAACCTATGATAAATCAGTATCAATATAAGAAATGTGGTGGTCTTGGCCATTACCAAAAGAATTGCAAAGTATTTTATTGATATAAATGTCAAATTAATTATGTATTATAAAAGCTAATGCTAATAAAATTTTTATACAGGCTTAAAGATGTTATTTAAAATTTTTATACAGCTTAAAGATGTTATTTAGTAATGTAGTATATTATATAGCCTTAGTTATACATTGCTAATAAACTTGTTGCAGTATATATTTGATAATTGGCAAACTAGTGCTTTAAATTTGATTTAGCTTGTTTAGTTATTTGTGAAGTTGAATTAGTTGTGTTTAGAGTAATGTTGGGTGTTTAAATATATATAGATTTTTTATATCCAAAGTAGTTTATATATATCTAGTGCAATTACTTTTGTTATACATATTAATTGTCATAATTTAAATTAGCATCTTTTAAATTAACTAGAGTGACTTGCAAAGTATAGTATAATTGTTATTATTAATTAACTCATTATTAATTATATATTACTAGCTGAAAACCCATGCAATAATACACGGGAATAAATATATATAATCTAGAATAAATAATAAAATTTAAAACTAAATTATATTAATTTTTTTAATTATTATAGTTTAAAATTTTTGTTAATTTTTTATAACTATATTACTATATTAAATTATATATAGTAGTATAAAATAATTAATTAATAAAATTGAATATATTAATATAATAAATATGGCAAAAATACATTAGCAACCCGTCGCTATGCGACCCTAAATGATTGACCAATCAAATTTGAGATCGATGATCATCAATTTTGCTCCCCAAAAATTTTTTTTTGAATTTTTTTTTTTTTTTTAGTTTATACACCTATATTTAATACAAATACTTTATTTTTTTATAGAATTATCATATATAATAAAAGTTATTATAAAAAAGTAGACTTCAAAATATTTTTTTAATCAAAATTTTATAAGATTTTAAACGTTTATCATATAGAATTAGTATAAAAATTTTTAATACTTTTTAATAATATCTTAGCAACTACATATCCAAATTCAATAAATTTTTTTTTATTTGCATTCTACAGATTTGTAGAATTCAAATAAAAAAATTTTTATCAAATTTGATTAAGTGGTTGCTAA